CCGAATACAACTGGCCCATGTCATCATTTTCGCTCGCTCGGTACGAAAATTTTTCCAGAGAGAATCCGACAAAGTTCGGCGATGGGTACTACGCGGATTGTGAGTGCAACTCATATTCTCTCTGAACAGAGACTTTGTGAGCGTGAACGCTTCGAGCTTCGCAGGGAGCCGAGACCACAAATAAAGTTGACCACGGATTCGAAGCGGGAAAATGAGAATTTAAGAGCTCCTTGAGCACTTCAATTTCCCCAGTTTTGCCTGGATACACTCCTCGATGAGTTCTACAATAAGCAGCAGGAGCGATCGCAAGAGTGAGCACACAGCACTTTCTCTGATAAAGCGTTTTCATGCTGCTACCGTCCAGTATAAGGGCTAATATTCCGAACTAATTAGTTATAAATGCTCCACCATTTGTGTGCATTGCATAAGTGGAGGATTTCCTCATTTGTATTACATGCACACCGTAGCTGAATAGCGTTAGAGACATGAGAAATTCTGAAGAAACTTTAGGATGGCATAAGCAATTGACGCGGCCCATTTTCTTCAAAAGAACAGAGCAATTCAAATCCACGCGTTAACCAAAATCAAACAACACCATTCTTAGTTTTCCGACACGCCGAAAACGATGGTTGCTATGCCGATTTACGAAATTTCCAAATAAGTCAGAAAACTGAAAAAATTAGGGGGTGGCATATACAATTGACGCGCACTGTAGTTTTAAAGGCAAGCCCCGGGATAAAACCGGTGATAAGAGCGCTTCGTAGTGATGACTGAGCTGCGGGACGGCCTGAAAGTGGAAAGGAAAGCTAGAGAAATCTTTGGGATCGCTGAAATTAAGGCCTTAACCTTCAAAAAGGTCGGATGTGGAACGATGGCGAGGCAGGGCGGTCAAAGAAGACAAAACACGCGAGAGATCACGCCGAGAGCACGCCGATATCGAGGTGGGTGGGAAGCGTTGCAACGGGGTCGATGGTTGCAGGCCCGTAAGGATTAGCGCCCTAACCGCGCAACTTTTGCGGCGAAGCTGGAGTGATCTAGGTAGGTAGGGACCTTACAATTTCCCTCGCGGTATCCTCCCCACAAGTCGGGCTAAACCCGGGGTTTGTCTTCAAACCTTCCTGGATTGCGCCACGCACATCGTGGGTATTGATAGTTAGCCATCACAATCAGAAGTTGTCTGACTCGGGCTATAACGGATTTCCGACCGTTGATCCTTATTCAACACGATGACGACATCGCACGTTTTGGCTCTTTTTGGCGCGTGGGGCCAACGCGATTTTGCGAGCCATCCGCCTCACAACAAATCTGTGGATTTTGAGCTTAAATATGCAAAACTCGGATGCGACAAAATCTTTTCAATAATGTTCTATGTGATCAATTTCTCGGGGCTCACAGTAATAGAAGTTTGAGAAAACGACGCGCTTGGCAATGAAAAAACAAATTCACTTACTTCACTGTAGGCCGCGTTCATAGTTCGCGACTCCGGAGATTAGGATAGTACGCGACAATGAAAAACATATGTATTGACGGGGAGATTAGGATAGTAGTAGATAGGATAGTAGTAGAGTAGGAGATTGCGCTGACAAGATTAGATACGTATCGATTGAAATCGCTGGAGAGTAGTAGATTGCGATATTACGATAGTAGGATAGTAGTAGAGTAGGATAGTGCGCTGACAAGATTAGATACGTA